TAATTCTATCTCCCCACTAGCCTGCGAATTCTCTGAGTGCAGAGGCTTTGCTCCAAGAGCAACTGAAAATAAGAGCGACCAAAAAACAAAGGGGCAATTTCATAAAAAGTAATCAGCCAATCTCCTCATTTTGACTGATTAATTGATTTTGTTTTTTTCTTCTCAGCTTCCCCTCTTTGCACTTTAGTCTTATTTTGATGAAGTGATTCACTCACTGCTGAACAAATGTTAAATGCTGGCTATTATTACTATCAAAGTCTAGTTTGGGACATATTTTTATATCTAATTGCTGATACGTTAAGATCAAAGGTAAATCATGAAAAATGCACTGTAAAAATAAACATGAGACTGTGGAGCTGTGAAATTATTTCACAGACGTTGTTTTAAATCTTGTCCCCACACTTGAGACAATTTTATTTAGGGCATCCCATCACATGAATAAATGAAAAACTTCACAGAAAGCCTAGTTTTATTTGCTTCTTTGCTTATTGGTTAGCTGAAAATGATATTTACAGATATTTTTCTATTTTATAAAATCCTTGTATATTCTCCGTGAACCATTGCCTTTCTGTTACCATATTCCCTATCATCATCCCCTCCTTTCTGATCTCTCTACTTCCTCTCCTGCCACTGCCTTTTTTTTAAAAAAACAAATTTGTTTTATTTCAGGAGCAAATGTTTCATTTTTAGATTACTAGTTATTTAAAATAAAGTCAGGACTCTGTAATAATATGCAAGAAACAAGTAGAATAATGTTGGGGGTGTTTCTGATTTTCTCCCAGTTAAATACAAAGCCATCAGCACCAATCATTGCAAATATGAAATCTAATCACTTAGCGTATTAGGAGAGCAAAAATGAGCTTCCCCATATTTCACAAATTGACTCACACTCTACATATTTTATCCTCAATAATGTATGCATTTTCCAGCTGGCTAAGGCTGCAATCTTTCTGCATTTTGGACATTTGTCACTCTATTCAGCCAGGCAGGAGAAGCCCCTGTGTAGCAAGCTCCTTGCACTGCAGGCATAGCATCTGTGAAGGAGTTGCTGACATCTGATGATTCAAATTGCAGAAATGATCCAGGACAAATTATGAACGTCTGGGTAGTGCCCAGAGATTTTGAGCTGAAATGACTTTGCCCTTGGAGCCTTGCAGATTTGGTGAACTCTTGGGGCCACAAGCTTTCTTGTACACAGCCTCCATAGGACGTTGCCCACAGGTCCTCTTCTCTGTGTCAGTTATCATCCTGGGAGTGCCAATTGAGCTTTCCTTGGCCTGAAATGCAAAGGAAGTGGTTCAAGTTTCAGTTTACAAACCCTCAAGGCAATTGGAGCTTTCTTTGAAATGTAAAGCAGTCTTCTATCAAGCACTGCTTAAGGCATCATCCAACTATCAAAGTCAAAGATGATTTGATAGAACCTTACAAATCCTAATAATCTATGGTAAGTAGTAGTAGCTAAGGCTTTGGCTCTGCCTTTGCACGTAGGGCAGAAGCAGGAGGATAATTTATCCAACTTTAGGGTAATGAAGTGTTAACAAAAACCACATGAAGCTATTATTACAACCACAGGCCACAGACTGCTAAGAGGGTAAACTCTCTGGAGACATACCTATTTTCAAGGAATCTTTTGCATCTCAGCTTACCTGAAGGCATTTGCTAAACACAAAGTGATGTAGCTGAAATACCATGATTCATTAGCCCTAATGAACAATGCTGAGCATGTTGTCTCTCAAATATAACCCACTGACATTGATATATATGTACTTTAACTCATTCGTCCCAACTTTATTAGGTACATATGTCTACAGCAGACACAAATGAAACATTCTACAACTAGGCTCCAAGCCAAAAACTAATTTATTCTTTAATGTGCTAGTGATTACTTGGTGGTTCCTTGAGCAGAGATGACAGGTCTGAGCTAATGGAGTTGTACTGTAAGTTAATATAAATCATGACAGAGCAATTAATTACAGAAACCACTGCAAATCCCTTTGTTAGTTTTCCCCATCACCAGAAGGATTTAATAATATTCATTTTGCTAAGTTCCAGTGACATTTACAAGTCTTAAACCATTTTTAATCAAATCAATATCACTGGCTGCTAAATTTAGTTGTGCTTTGCTTGCAAGTCCTGGAATACATCGATACTAATGTTTCCTACCTTCTGTTCAAATGAATCACATTGAATACCCATACTTCCTCTTCATTTGTTTACATTGAGTAATTGGGATCTGAAAAAAGTTAAGACCTGGAGAACCCTGACTATCAGCAGGAATGAATTAGCAGGTAGAAGAGGGGATCCATAATTCAGTGATTACATCTGCATCATTGTATCTAATGTCCTTCATCAGTTTCCCCTAATTGGCCTAAAGAAAAATACTTCACGATCATGGAAATAGATTCACATTTCTGGAGACTTTTTCAAGTGTGATAGGTTAAAAAAGGAAAGATGAAATTTAGGCACTGGAGCAATATGCTTTCATAACAAAAGAGCACTACACCGGTTCAAAAGCATCTCAGCTTCATCTTGTACATTCTTTATTCTTTAGACGTCTATAGTTGACATCTCTTTTTAAACTGAATAAGTGAAAATTAGTTGGTTAGTAAGGCTATAGAAATGCTAAATTATCCCTATAAGAATAATAAAATCTTCATCAGTAATTGATTGTATTATAGACTTTTAGAACAAAATAACCTGCTGTTCCTGGATGGCCCGTGTTGCTAGATCAATATCAAGCTCTATTTATTTGTATGTTTCCTTTTTTCCCCCAGTGAAAGCTCTATCTCTGGAAAGAGTGCAGCTCCCATAGCAATGTGCCTTGCACACGTTCAGTAGATTTTCTGTGTCTGTCCTACCTTTTTTGCATAATTGCAGATTTTTATTGACTTGCTTTCGACTTGATCTGTGGGTGTCCCTGACTCTGAGCCTTAAAATGTTAGAGAAGCATTCTTTCCAGAAAGGTCATTGTTCACATGCTTTTATGTTTGTCATGTTCCTTAGGAATTCAGCACTTTGTGCTTTCTGCTGTAATCATTTCTGTTCATCTTTTCCTCCTTACCAGATTGTAAACACCATTAGGATAGGGATCGTGCTTTATCCATTTTTATTCTCTATACTATCGATACCTAGCAAAGATGTTTCTACATGATATTGTTCAATACATGTTCAGTAACTGAACGAACATATGCTACCCAGATGGGAATGTGAGGAGGGTGTAAAACTCAAATTAGTTAATCAAATAGCTTGTAAAAGAAGGGGTTGGGTGCAGGAAAATGTTGTTAACCTGGGAGAGATCTTTTAGACCTAGAGTTTAAAGAATTGACTTGATGAAGGCTAGCAAAAAGACCAGAGCTCGGGGGTAGCTCTGATGGCTTGCAAGCTAATGATACCTCTATACATTTGTAGAAGTCCAGCTCTAGCCTCTACTTCCATCCTTAGAAGCTGTGATGCATTGCAGAGAGGCCTGAATAAGAGTCAGAGTTTGAACTCTGTGCCACTTTCCAGCTTTGTGATCTTAGCCAAACTCAAGTATGGCTTTTGACCTTGGTGTAGGCACTTAGACTTTTTTGAGCCATAATTTCCTCCATTTTGCATTGTGAATAAGCAATGCCTGTGTGATAGCAGTGTGAGGTTTAAGAGATGGTGTGTATGAAATTGGCTTATGTGGAGTAGTGTCTGAGCCCTACTCCCAGAGGGCCTGTGGATGGCAGCCATAGGAAGAAGGGAATAATTTATACCTTTCCAAACTGGAAGACACATATGCTGGAAGAGATGGATGAGTAACAGCTTTCTCTTTGTGTTATTTACTATCATGGGAGTCTGGTCAGTGTGAGACTTGTTCTGGTTATGGGTCCTGGTTTCCAACAAGGGGGCCAATTTTTTCTTTTTTTTCCCTAGGAAAAAAATGGATATAAAGTGTGTTGCTTTTCACATGTGTCAAGATCAACAATTCTTATTATTACCCACACAATGGATGGGTTCAATTGCTTTGGAGGTGTCAGTCCAATAACCACAACCAAGAAGGATTTAACAAGGGGATTTGATTACTTGCAACAAGGAGTAAGGAGGACACAGGGGATGGTTCCCAAAGCCGTGCCTCCCTGAACAAGGGTGGAACCAGGGCTTTTGCTGGTCATTGTATGTAGAGATGGAGTAAAGGCGGTGCAGATGTGGTTTGCTGATCATGCTTCTACATACATTGCATGTATATAAAATGGAGAATAAGCTTCTCCCAGGGCACAGATTTTAGTATGGTAAGAAAGGAAGTTTCCCAAAGTTTATCTCCAACTCAAATATCCCTGAGTCCAACCCATTTTTGTTTTTTAAGGGCTGAGCTCCTTTCTGGAGTGTTTGGAAACAAGAGCTCAAAGTACAAACGTTATAACTGGATAATTTTTCATAGTGCATACCCTAAACCCTGGATTACATAATCATCATCCTATTCAGGAAAGCAGAATGGGAAATTACATTTCATATAACCAAGACACTGAGACCCTCATATATTCTGTCAAGAGAAGTTTTTTTAAATTTATGTATTTATTTTTGCAGTGGCACAATCTTGGCTCGCTGCAATCTCGCCTCCAAGGTTCAAGTGATTCTCCTGCCTCAGCCTGCCTAGTAGCTGGGATTACAGGTATGCGCCACTATACCTGGCTAATTTTATATTTTTAGTGGAGATGGGGTTTTCAGTATGTTAGTCAAGCTGGTCTCAAACTCCTGATCTTGGGTGATCTGCCCACTTCGGCCTCCCAAGGTTGCTGGAATTACAGACTGAGCTGCTATGCCTAGTCTGGAGGAGTTTTAAAAAGACCTTTTTCCTTGTTTCCTTGAGACTGTGTTCTGATACAGTGGCTGGGGAGCTTACCTGTTCCTGCAGTTTCCAAAGGGAGATGAATTGTTTTTTTAAAAGCACAGTGTATCCATAGTGGGCATCCATAGTGGGCCTAAAAGGCATTTACTGTTCCTATGTATAAGGAGCCAGAACCATCCTTGTAAAATTTTTTTTAACAAATGGTTTCTGCTAATATTAGTACTACCATTATTTCTATCACTATTATTACTATTACTATGAATTACTACTTCTACTGCAGCTGCTACTTAACATTTATAGAGTGTTTACTATAACTGTTCTACAATTTTCTTGAATATTAACTCTTAGTCCTCACAAACATCCTCTGAGGCAGGGACTATCATTGGGGAAACTGAGGCACAGTAAGTGGCAGGGCTGTGATTCAAATACAAGCAGTTTGACTCCCAAGTCTATGCTTTTAGTGAAAAAAGCCTAAGACTTTGAGTTTGGAGATCCAGGTTCCAACCTGAATCCTTTACCTAAGTAGCTATGTAACCCTATAAATGCCCCCATTTCTCTGAGCCTTTGATATTTCAACTGAAAAGTGAGAGTAAGAACTATTAAATACCTTTGGTTCCCATGTGACATGGTAAATTAAAAACAAAGTTAGAAGGTTGCTCCAGCTGTTATTGCATCTCTCAGATAATGTTGGGTGGAATTTAAGTTATAACCCAAAGCTGTATTTTGAAATCTCTCCTTCATTTTCTTGTCCACACCTCTCCCCTGCTGCTGGTGTTTCAGAGCAATGCATGCTCTCATCCCCTCTTGAATCTGCCTCCAGCTGGTCTCTGCACTCTGGTATGAGGCATTTATCTTTTTTCCTCTCCACTTCACCCTTTCCCAGATCACTCTCTGCCCCTAGTCACTCTCTATACGTTCTCACAATTATTTTTCACAAAAAAGCTAGGATACTTCTTATGGATGGGAGAGGGGAAGAAGCGAAGGGCACAGGAGTCAGCTTCCTGAGCAGTCGGGCATTGGAGGTAGGCAGTCATGTAGAGGGTAAATGAAGGAATTAAGGAAGGAATAGCATTCAGTCTTAAAAGTAAGGATCAGGCTTATTTATTTATTTATGTATAAGTGCTTTATTGAGATAAAATTCACATATCCCAAAAAAATTCAGACTTTCAAGTGCACAATTTAGTGCTTTTTAAAAAAGTCTTCCCTGAGCTGTGTAATGGTTGCCAATATCAAATTTTAGAACATCTCATTGATACAGACATATCTGGTGAGGGCTCCACCTTCAAGCCTGGACCCATGGCCCTAAATGAGAACGGGAATTCCTGTTTTCATGCCCGAATGTTGCCTTTTCGAAGACCACTCTGGCCTACCCTGCCCCTTTCCTGTGCCCATAAGAACCCCAAACTCCAGACTCCACGAGCAGAAGCCTGGCAGAGCAGCAGAGTGGCATGGCAGAAAAGGAGAGAAGAGGAGCAGCTGAAAATTGAAGAGGCAGCTGCATGGTTGGAGAGTTTAGCCAGGGACAGCCAAACTGCGGGGGAAGATTATCTTCCCACTCCATCCCCTTTCCAGCTCCCCATCTGGCTGAGAGCCACCTCTATCACTCAGTAAATCCTCCACATTCACCATCCTTCAAGTCTGTGTTACCTGATTCTTCCTGGATGCCAGACAAGAACCTGGGTACCAAGAGGGCAGGGTATATGTCTTCCTGACTCTTCGCTGAGCTGGCCAACACTTAGCCATCTGCAGATGGCAAATGCTGAAACAACATTGTTTGTAAACCATACCCTCTGGGGTTCCAGAGGTTGCAGGCAACCACTAGATGCTGCTGTGGGCTGGTATGGGGTTTGTTCCTGCCGGTGCCTAAAGGCACTCACCCAGGCTCCTGCACCTACTCATCTGTGTGCTCCTGTTCCTTCAAGGGGCTTGAGCTCAGTGGCCAAGCAAAATGAGCCACTCCCCATCACAAGTCTCACTAGGGGGTTAGGGATCTCTCCCATCTCATCATTATTTCAAAAATAAATTCCCCCTCTGTCTCCTTTGTCCCAATAGCTGGAAACTAGTAAGCTACTTTTTGTTTCTGTACATTTGCCCATTTTTGACACTTCATACAAATAGAATCATATAATATGTGTCCTTTGTGTCAGACTTCTTTCACTGAGCATATTGATGTTTTTATATTTCATCCAGGTTGTAGCAGGTATCAGTACTTCATTCCATTTTAATGGCCAAATAATTTTCTACTGTGTGGATGTACTTTGTTTCATCTATCCATTCCTTAGTTGATGGGCATTTGGGTTGTTTCTGTTTTTGTGCTATTATGAATAATGCTGCTATAAACATTCATATACATGATTTTGTGTAGACCTAGGTTCTTTTTTAATTTTCTGGTGCATATACACCTGGGAATAGGATTTCTGGATTATATGGCAACTCTATGCTAAACATTTTGAGGAAATGCTAAACTGCTTTCCAAAGTGGCTGCACCATGTAACGATCCTACTTTATATGTAATTAAAAGCAAGCAAACAAACAAAAAGCTGTAATTAACAAAATTACTGTAGACTACCTAATTTTGGCACATTGTAACTATGGAAGCTACAGGTTCTTTTAGGGTCAGGCTTTATTATACACCTTCAATAGGTATGCTTTCTTCCTTGCTCTGTGACAAACTAGATTAGGGTGACAACGGTGTGATCAGCAGTTAGAACCAGACTGGACTGTCATCTTCTTGAGGGTAGGAATACATTCTTCCTCGTTGCTGTAACTACAGAGTAGAGTACAGTGTTGGCAGATAACAGGCACTCTATAAACATCTGAGAGAATAAATGAAGGAAGACATAAACTCAGAGATGGTCCTGCTAAATTTGAATTTTCATCCAAACAACTGACCTTTCCATTTCATGAAGTGAGCTATTTAGCAACATTCTCTAGCATATGGATTATCTCTGTCTGTGGCATCCATTCTTCTTCCATCTGTTGAGGAATTTCATCTCCTTTCAAAGTCACATGAGGAGGCCTTGGTATATACTCTGCACATGGCACACATGGTATTTTATTTTAAAAGGATGTAACAGTATCACCTAGATTTGGCAAACATCATAAAAAAACTTAATTTGGCGATCACTGCCTGGATTTTTTTCCCCCTTTGATATAATACATTTAATAGATAATATTAATTCAGGTCCCTAACACACATAAAACCTAGCAGTATTCAGTATCTGATGTGTTTGCTTTTATTCTGAAAGAATCTGAAGGGATTTGACATTTTGTTTCATTCATTCACAGTCTGTTTTTTCATATCTAATGAACATGCTCTACAACAATGGCCCTCAGATCTCCACCATCTGCAGGGGACCGCACGCAGATCATAGGCTAAGAACAACACCACATCAGTATTGAATAAAAAAGTGAAACTTCAAAGGCAGAGCTGGCTATGAGGTCTATGCTGTCAGGACCTCGTAGCTAGTTCCTCCTGTTTATTATTTTTTGTTTGATTGAATGATAATGTAGTATGTCATTCCATGGTCCATGACCTGTGGTCAATTCCCTATGGAGGAACCAGATTGGGGAATATTTTTGTGAGCACATTTGTTCTAGTAGGGAAATAATAAAAACAAGAAGGGTGGGCACAAAAGATGTCTGAGGAGAGGGAACAAAGTCCTTTATTATTGAGGAAGATGATCTTGGAGTCTCAGCCAAGAGTCTTTTTATCTGGATGGTGATAATGATAATGATTCTCTCTGTAAATAACGTAGGCAAAAGACAGATTTTTGTTGGTTTGTTTCTCTCTTTATAGTCAATTGCACTCTATTTTCCCTCGTCATGTGGCAGGCATGCCTGACTCACCCCCACGCTGCCACAATTAGAACACATTTGTACCTCTGATAACCCAGGCATCAACTTTTTAAAATGTTGAGCTAGTGAATTAGGTCTTAATGGAAAATTTTTCTCCTAATATAGGACCTCTCTGGGCCATGAATAATTAATGTCAATTTATACCTCAAGGGATGTCTCTGAGGAATCAATATAGTGAATTAACATCCTCCAAACCCTTAACAACAAAATCTTTTTTAGGTATAATGAAGCCTTTGGAAGGCCTATACTCTCTTTAAAAGAAAATCTTAAATATAAGTAACATTAGTTTTGTTTATCCTGTATTTTACATTTTATTACATATTTCTAAAAGCTAGAATCTGCACCAAGGTGGCCCAGGCTGTGATGGACCTATAAATGGAAGGATTAGGAAGTTATAGCTCTTACTACCATGGACAGGGGCTCTGGTGACGCAGAGAGAACAAAATTAAAAGATGCCAGGATAAATATTCCAAAACAAATCCTCTTTTTGTGCCACCTCCGTCGCCCTATTCTTAAGAAAGAGATGAAGAAAGCTGTTCTTGAAAGATATGGCTTCGTGTCAGAAGGATGCCCAAGTTCTTGGTGATGACAATGATAATGCTATGGCACCCACTTTTATTTTCAAGAGAGCCTTATCTTTATATCTCAAACTTGAAATCATGTCTGATCGTGGCTCTTGCCTGTTTCATGGCATATTAGACAGGGATGGGGACTACAGTGACGATCCCCATTCTGACATCCCTAAATTTCCCATTGGTTCCAGTCCCTTTGCATCAACTCCAACCCCGCCAGCTCTGGCTGACCCCTCCTTTTCCTGCAATCTCATCCATCATGGGAGCTGTCAATTGGGTGCCTTTGAGGCCCAGGGCTTGCAGAAGATGTTCTGAGGGCAATGTCCATCTGTCATATATTATTACCAGTTTTCCTAAATAAACCCTGTAGTTAGGGAGGAGCAATTCTGGCCTAGGGGAAGATACAGAAAATGAGAAAAGAGCTAAAGATTTCTAGCAAGCCAGATTTTCTTTGCTGAAGTTTCTACCTACTCTTATTGTCATCCTTCATTCTGAAAAGGCGAAAAAAAAAAAAAAAAGAAATGCATCCTGTGCTAAGCTGGAGATGAAAAGACAGGGTTCTTGCCTGCCTTTAAGAAACTTTCTGCCTAGAGTGAGGAGGCAGGCTTGAGAACAAATTAATCCGCTCCATTGTTAGAGGAGCTTTAAGGGAACCACAGGCTGGGGATAGTGGGGCACAAAGGAGAGTGTCAGAGAGGCTTTTCCGAGAAGGTGCTTAATTGTGTCTTCAAAAATGAGCCGATGCCCGCTGGGTAGACAAGGGGGCGGGGGCATTCCCAGCCGAGAGCAGGAGCAGTGAGGGCAAGCATTGGGGAGTGGAAGGGGCTCAGTCCTGGGTCTTGGCAGAGCCTAATTACCTGCTTCCTCCTTGAGCCTGAAGTCAGGACTTGAAGCTGGAAAAACTCTCAGGCCAGAGGCAGATTTCTTTGCAGGCCTCAAAGTAATCTGTAGCCACCCAAACCTTCAAATCTCTCTGGGAGGTAGTGGCTCCTATGGTTAAAGAG